AGGCACGGTTTCAACTGTGAATTTTGGAGCTTCGACAAGACAGAGGTTTTTTTCCCCCCCGAGGTCGGCCTGTTAGCTTGTAGCTTAGCTTCTCAGCTTGGCTGCTTTTAACGATCCACAAACGCTATTTTGGACGGTTAAACCAGATTTCAAAGAAAAAAGAGAAAGGGAGGGGCCAGTTAAGAGCACCGGAGTTGAGCTTTTGTCATCCAGTGTCTTCAGTAGAAAGAGAGAGACACATGAAGAAACAATAATAGTCGAAAAATGAAAATGAGGTTGATAATTTTCATTTATTATGCTATTAATTGATTTATTGTTTATCGCGACAGGCCTAAGCAAAATGGCATTCGGTTAACTATTTTGGAACTGGAGCAGTCATGAACAGTCGAGTGGGCCAGTGGACAGGCTTTAGTGCACGTAATTACCAAATCTGTTCTAAATTTTACCAGACTTTGTTCTTTTCATCAACATCATTAAAACACTCATTCTCAATGGACAGCAGGAAAGAAAGATCTCCAGCGCCATTAGTAAAAGCAACCGCTTCACTTTTGATAGCTCCTGCTCCTTGAAAAATGTGCTGAATCCCACTCTAATGGGGTGTTGGTGTATTCATCGGCAGAAATGGGTTTTTTTGTCACACACCCTAATGTACAAAGCTTTTGTTAATGCATTTAGCAATAAAAACTTTGTATGCTGTTTTTCTCCTACATACTATTTGATAAAATACTCATCTTAGAAACTATTTATTTCATGAGCCAAAATAGGGCTGATAGTTCTGGCTGTTAGTTAGTTATGGAAAATGGAATTATACCCTGACAGACAAAAACCTATAATGTCATGAAAACACGTTTTAGAGAAACTCTTCATTTTATCTGTTCTGAACCACAATATTCTGTTTTTGATACAAATTCATCCACTGAGTGCTTAATCACTTTTACTCTTTTTATTCTTTGCAATTTACTTTCTCTGAAACGGTGTCAAACCTAAAAAAAAAAAAGGTTGCAAATTTGCTTTTCACTTCCATTATTAGTGCCTGCAGGAAATGTTCTGCAGACGATGGTTACTGAGAGAGGATAGCTTTGAATCAGCTGTTAAAACTCTCCTGAACATGTCAGGTATGAAGAATTTATACCTGTTCATGCTTTCCATATTAGATCCTACAGAGATACTGGGAGAACATTATGTATGAGTTGACCTTCAGTTTGTGCAGCTAAAACATTAGGTATGTGTAAAATATAAGGCAGTGATGCAAAAAGAAAAAAATGAATCCATCTTGTTTTGATCCTAGTAAGTAAATCTCAGTGATAACAGTTTCTTCTCATTTTTCTCTTCATCTGATAAACTTTTGTGGGAAATGTTGTCATCCTGCAGAGGCGGCGACTGTTTACTTTGAGCTCAATTTGACGAACGCCGGCCAGCCAGACAGACAGGAATGTGTGCAGCCATCTGCTTACAGACACTCACCTTGATTGAAGCATAACTACCGATCAGTTATTGAACATGACAAATTTCTCACCCTGTGCACAAAGAGCGATGCACTGACACAAACGTGAGCCTGTGCGCACTCGGATCACTCCTGCCAGATCATTAAAACAAGAAAGCAGCTCCATTGGCTCCTTAATGGAAATTGCTATTTCAAAGCGTGTGGAGAGAGATGTTAACCTTCTGCTGTACTTGTGGCATTAAAAATGGATCAAAGCATATGAGCTTTGATGTCAATGGAAGATTTTATTTGGGTCGGAGCAGCAGGGGAAGGAGCAAGGATGACTCTTTAGCACACTCTGCTGGGGAAAGATGGCATCCCGTTCATACTTTAGGATTATTTGTTCAGCCTTCTCTGTTTTTGCTTAATGCATCTTCTGCACCTTGAATCTGTACTGAGGACACGGTGATAAAGACACAGCAACAGATAAGACAGATGAAAGAGAAGCTGCAAAATGAGAAAGCAGCTGTTTTCTTGTTTTCTTGTCAGCGAGTCCATCAATCAGGTCTTGTTGTGCAATATGAGAGTTGCTGTGAACTGTCTGGAGTATCAAGTAGGAAAAGAGGTGAGAAGGCGGAGGCACTTCTGGATGTGTGGGTGATGGGGGGGGGGGGGGGCGAACTTTCGACCCCCAGCAGGCACTCTGAAAGCCCCCTCGTGTTGGTGTCCCCCACTGGGCTCAGCTTGGGCCTGGGAATGAATACGCTGTTCAAAGAGATAAATGACTTCGGGTGGAAGCAACGTCACCTTCCTCTTGGAGTCTTTTTTAAATATTGTATTTAAATGTCTCCAAGTTAAATAAGTTTGTAGGCTGCAAACAAATAGAGGCTTACGACAGGAACAGTCGTGTGTTTGCCATGAAAAGACAATGGTATCGGCGTTCGTGCAGCTCCTCCACGGATGGGATGCAGCCACTGTTTGCATCAGAGTTACTGTTTATGTGGATGAGCAGCCCAGTTGGGGGAGGAGTGAATGAAAAATATAGAGACTCAGATACAAAGAGTAAAAAACATAAATAATTGATGAAAGATACCGCCTTGCATCTGCTGCCTGCTGCCACTGAGTTTCTTCAAAGTAGACACATTAAATGCAGGGTCTTGCTAAAACATCGTCAAACCTCCCGTCTCCTGCGACCACATCATCACATTATAAACCCCCCCCCCCACAAAACCGGAATGCTTTTGAAATGATCTTCTGTGTAATAAATGCTAATATTTTAGCGTGACATCATGAAACAGGTCTGTCAGGTCTTTATTATTTGCCATGTTATTGATGGCACATGTATTCATGTGGGAAGAAAAGATTCCTATTTCTTGTGTGATGAAGCCAAAATAAAAGCTCCAAAGGTTAATTAGTGGAGTTTCTCAGGCTTTTTGTGCATATGGGTCCCAAACAAGTGGGTTAGGGCTATTTGGAGTCTCAATACATGATTGACTTTAATGTATTTGCCCCCCTCCCATTGGCAAGCCCTTTTTTTTTTCACAGTTTGCCTCATTAAAATCTTTGTGGAAAGTCTCCAGCTCTTGGAGAAGAGACTTTCTTTTGATTAGGCTGCAAACAAATGGAGGAGGTGTTTGACATCTTCCAAGTCTGTGGTCCTCTTTTGTTGTGCTGTTGGATTGTTGCCCCCCCCCCCCCCCCCGCCTCCCCACTTGGACAAGACTGGAGCACTACTCCTGAAAGCTTTATTCCCACTTGTTTTCATTTATTTATTTATTTTTTTCTTATTTCCTCACTCAACTCCAACCCCTCCTCCCGTACGCCTTTGTTAAAGACGGCCCCTCATCCCCCCCCCCCCCACCCCCGTCTCTCCCTCTCCGGTGTACTGTCTCTCCTGCTCTCTCGATATGCGCTCATCTGTTTGGCTGGCTGAGGCTGAGAGACGAAGTGCTCTGGAGGAGACTGGGAACCAGAGACACGCCGCTGCAGTTTTCCCCAATAGAAGAAAGAACTACAGAGAAAAACAAGGGGGGGACACCGGAGTGTCAGAATCTGCTTTTTTCCTTTGCAAACCCTCATCCTCCCTCTCATTTACTTGCCGTCTGTCTCGGTCTGTCCATTGACTTCTCTCATTGACTCCCTTCTTCAGCTGGCTGAGTGCGCTGACTCTGGGACCGCTACCTGCTGCCTGGGGATTTGGAGCGCTACGAAGACCTTCTGCCTAATTTGTTGCTTTCAGAACCAGTGAAAGGAAATTTCACACGTAGAAGAACCAGGAACTTAAATCTTTGTGACCGGGACACCGGGGGGGCACCTCTGGACGAAGACATCCAACTCCATAAGGGATTAAATGCTGGAGGGTTGAGCTGGAAAGAAAAAAAGGACAAGTTTATTTTTCACAACAACCTGAAACAAAATTGTTAAATTTTAATTTTTTTAGTCAACCCTTGGAACGTTTTTCCTCATTATTCGGTTTGACTTTATTTTATTTTGCCTGCTGCTGACAAAACCCCAGCAAATCTTTGCCTCAAGCACCTTTGTTAATTTTTGATCATCTTCTGTTTCTTGCCCTTTTCTTTCATTGGGTTTTTTACTCTTTCTGTCTCATCCGTGGCTGCGAACGGGAGAAGGCAGCTGTGGATTGACAGGTCGAGTGTGGCTCGCGATTGTTTGCTTCTCTAACTTTTCCCCCTCTCCTCCACTTCGTTTGACCTGCTTTTGGCCCCGGCAAATCATTGAGGTCAGAGCCGAGGGGTGCAGCTGTGCCCCCCCCTCCATGAGACCTGCTTGAAATGAAAGAGCATTGGAGCGTAGAGGGGTGACAAACACAGAAGGAACAAGAAACAAACCAACTCCTTGCTCCTTGAAGCATTCGTGGAGGGATTCACTTTCCGTCCCTATCAGTAAAAAGCGTCTCCGGTTGCAATGTCAGGTTCTGAGGGGCTTTGTGTGTCATGGACTATATCATAAACTAAAGAAGACATTCCTTTGGATACAAAGAGCTGTGGTCACTTCGAAGCAGAGCATTAAGTTTTTACCAATGGGAGCCACAGCCATTCTGAACTTGCAAAGCCATCATCTTATCGAGAAATACGTTTGACACATGCTTTTTAGGGAGCACAAGACCATTTCTTGGTCTGAAAGGCTTTTGACAAGTACAGAAAGGGGAGCTGGTTGGAGTTGCCATCCCTTGACCTCTTTTATGATCGACTAATTGCCCATCGGGGTCATTAAAAGGAAAAGAGCGGATTCTTTGAGCGGATTTATTGTGAACCTGCTGTGGACATTTTTCCATGTGGATATCCAAAACACCCACATCCTAACGCACACATTTCTAGCTTTTATATATCCAACGTACATACATGCCAAAAGCACTATAACACAGTTTGTCAAACACATTATCACCACCCACTTAAATCCACACACATCTGTGCTGTAAGCATACATGAACTCAACGCACACACACATACGTGCACACTAAATTCTCATTAGTTTGTCTTTTTCCCAGCGAGCACAGAGGAATGGAGGTCGTCTGGACAGGTGGGGGGCTGTAGGAGTCTCACATCCAAATCCCCCCTGTCTGCCCTTTCCCCAAATGGATGTTATTATCTGTAAACATGTGCCACTTGCGAAGCGTTGAAAGCTTTCTGCTGCGATTCTCAGAGAGAACCAGTCACCGGGTCCCCGTCACGGTGCCCGGCTGGAGCCACAACTGAAACACTCATCCATTACTCATCTTTTCTGCGTTTTGTTTTCATTATCCACACCGTTAGCCCTCACCCCACCGCCATCATTTTTTCCAACGGGTCTCTGGGCACCCCTCGGCGCACTCCTCGTCCCATCGTCTCCTCCACCCTGGAGGGGCGGGGGTCCCTGGAGTGGAGCATGAGCGGGTGCCACTACCCCTCGCCACCAGTGCCGGAGCGGGACCGCAGGTACCAGCACAAAGTGTCGCTGGTAGTGCGCTACTTCATGATCCCCTGCAACATCTGTCTGATCCTGCTGGCCACGTCTACGCTGGGCTTCGCCGTCCTGCTGTTCCTCAACAACTGTACGTTTTCCTCAACTGTAACTCCTTGCACGTGCACTTTCAGATCACTTTAACTGCTCTCTGTCTAGTAAAAGACACCTCGCCATAAAGCTAAATAGACTTGTGATGCCTTTTCCACAGAGTTTGTTTGGAAGAAACATCTTTTCTTGGCGCACATGAGTCTGCATTAAACATGGCATATCAAACATCTCATTGCCGCTTTATCTGTCCTTGAAGTGGGGACATGAGGACATTTAAACCCCCCTTCCATGACTCTGGGTAAGCAGAGTTCTAAGACGGCGTATCTTCTCTCTAAAGCCTTGGCATTTACTTTGAACTGCACGATGTATTTCATGGCGATTAAAAGCCTTAAGTGGTTCAAAAAGTTATCTTTCGGTTTGGAAAAGCCCAATCCCTCCTGTCATCTCTCCTTAATACAAAATAAAATAAAAAAATACACTCCCCAGCATAAATTAAAGTGCAGTAGCTCATTAGTTACTAGTAGAAGTTTTGATAGTAGCTCATGTGTTAAGAGTTCTCAATAGAGTTAATTTAGTGAGTTTATTCTTTATTCCAATAAACTTATGTACAAGACTTAATGTCAAATTATAGTTTCTGTTTAAAAATACTTTTTAGTGTATTAACCGACACTGTCTCTGTGAATACGTAATACCCTGTCATAACACACTGCAAGCAATGCTTTAAAGTTGGCGTTTGTCTGTTCTAAAAGCTGCAAAAGCCGACAGGTGTTTTCACAAACACACGAGCAATCTTTTTAAACATCACTAACCAATTCCAAATTCTTTGGCACACTTCTAGTTCCTCACTGTAAGAGAGTCTGTCTGGCAATGCCTTCCAGTTCAAACTGTGTTAAAGGTTAAATCTTCTTAACTCTGTGGCCCATTACTTATGCAAGTCTCTGCCTCATAATCACTTGCAGATTATAATAGGTAACTGAATTTGCCCCATTAGAGTCATTCTAATGAAGGCTGAAGTCTTTGCTGCCATTTCGTGGGAACCAATCTTTGCTCGTTTTCTCCTCTGATCGTTTTGATGTTTCACAAGACCGAGTGCTCTGATGGAATATAACGTTTTGCCTTTGTCAAAGGCGCCTAAGATCATGTTTCCCTGTCTTATTTTTTAGCCCTTCTAACTTCTGGTTGCAGGTTACTGGAGAGAAAATAAGCCATTTATTAACTGTGCTTTGTTACCGAATCAATCTGAGACAGACAGGTTTTATTAGAGTTAATACAGACTTGGTTAAAGCTGTCTCTCTGCTCTGGTGAAGTGAAAAACTAATGCGTTGGAGAAATTGATGAGCTGAATCCTGCCAGGAGCCCTTTGCCGTGTGGCCACAAGGACAGCTGGATACTGACTGTGCTGGTGGAGATGCATGCGTGTGTGTTAGTGGGAGGGGTGTTAGAAGACCTCCAAATTACAAATTTTGTTGTCAACATATGGGATGAGGCATGTCCATACGTACGCACACAGTTTGCCCCCCCCCCCCCCACCTCTAAATTCTGTTTGCCTGCCAATGAAGCCTGCTACACGGACGCACGCTCACTTCATCATTCTGCGCAGCGATACATCAGCCACAGCAAAGGGGAAGGTGCCACACATGCAAAGATAAATACACACACACACCCCTTTCTGCACGTGGGTAAATGTCACAGCCAGACATTTATTGATTTGCCAAAGATATAGGGTGAATGATGGCCGTGTTGTGACATTCACACAGAACCGGGAACTTATGCAGGCTTTGCCAGGTGTAAAGGAAGATGGAAGTGGCTGATATGTTTATGGAAAGACCTTATCTCGTCCTTTCGTTATGGAAATGTGAAGAAATCGTTTAGCTTCGCCTAGCGTCTTGGCTCACTTTGAACTCCACCTTCTCTTCAGGCTCCTTCTGATTCACCTTGCACGACACTGTGGCTCCGTTTGTTTGTGCATATTTAGACATGCTTACAAAAGTGAGAGAAGGAAGTGGGAAACCTTCCAATGCTCCTTTTATGTTCTCCCTCTCCATCCACCTGATGCCATTTTCTTTTCCCCCCATAGTTTTATGTGTGTTCTTGACTCTCCCCCTAGATGAAAATCAGTTCCCGTCATGACTGAATGCGAAGCAGCTTCAGCAGACAATTCATTATTCACCTCTAGCACCAACCTTGCCTCTCCTCTCCCCTCTCCTCATTTATTTTTTCCTCTTCCACACAGACTACTTTCTCCCCCGAAGCCCCGGCTGTTGACAAGCAATTTTAAGCTAGCCTAAATTTAAAACTCAGCTGTATCTCGGGGTGCCGATGGGTATCGCAGAAGTCCTGGGGAAGGCTCCGGCGCAGAGGTTGATGGGAGGGGGGGCCCCTGCGAAATAGTGTTATGGCGGAGTAGCTGATGTGATGTCTTGTATCTTCCTCATTATCCCTCACAGTGTAGAGGCAGCGGGGAGATGTCTGGGTGGTAGCTCAGCTTTTTCTCAATGTGTGTGTTTGTTCAGTGCAGGCAGCTTTGACAACTCACCCGGGCTTTGCTTAGTGAGTCACACAGCCGGGTGGACTGCTAGAGAGCAGATGGTGGTTCACTTGTGTCATGCTTGGTACTCAAGTAACCCGGTATGCTATGACCAGTGTACTGTATCGTAATAGGCTTTGATGAATGCATCATGCTTATAAAAAGTATCCATTTGGAAAAATACACTGCAAATGACATCAGTGCACATATATTTTCTTGCACATTAAAACTCGTGATGCCGCCATGATTTACCACATTCAAAGTGTCTACAGATGTGATTATTGTGTGAACACGTATGAAGCATTCACACTATTGAGATCCATTTTTCTTCCATACGTTTTTCGACATCTGTCTAGTTCCACAATTTTTGTGTTATTGCAACAAATCATTTATCACAAATGTTCAGCTCTTTCAGGACAATCCTGCTATGATTTTTGCTATCGGCACAACTTTAACTTTTTGAAACATTTAGCCTTTTCTGCCATTTTTTTGTCTCATAGAAAATGAATTGAGCTCATTTTACATCCTTCAGATCTTTAGATCTGTTTACAACCTTTTACTGCTTCAGCTTCTTTCAGCTTCCTTGTACACATTTAAACTTTTTCAGCTACTTTCAGCTGTTTTTCAGCTGTTTTGTGCTTGTTTCAGATTCTTTTTGCTAACTACATTATTTTTGTGCTTCTTCGAACTTCTTTCTGTTAATTTCAGCTTGTTTTGTTCCTTTCAGCTGATTTAGGCACGTTTCAGCTTTTTCTGCTATTTTAGCTACTATCTGCTAATTTTAGCCTTTTCAGCTAATTCCACATTTTTTGCACCCATTTCAAGTTTTGTCAGCCTAATTTGGCAAAAAATGTGCTCTCGCCACTTCCTTCTGGTAATTTCAGCTTCTTTCTGCTTTCTTTAGCTACTTTCAGCTGTTTAATGCAAATTCCAGTCTTTTTTAAAGATATTATGCACGTTTTGTACTCATTTCTGCTTCTTTCAGCCTAATTACGAAAATGTGTTATTTCAGCTTTCTGCTTATTTAAGCTTGTTTTACCTTTTTAGCATTTTTAGCTAATTTCAGCAGTTTTCAGATAAATTTGATTTTCTTGTGGTAATTTCAGCTACTTTCAGCCCAATTAACTTCTTTCTGATCATTTCAGCTTAATATGCTCCTTTCTGCTTTTTTTTTTTTTGGCTTGTTTCAGCCTTTTCTACTATTTCAGTTACTATTTCCCTCTTTTACACTAATTTTTAGCTTTTTCAGCTAATTCCACAATTTTGGAGCTCCTTTCATCTCCTTCCTCTTCCTTCTGGTAGTTTAAGCTTCTTTCTGCCTTTTCAGCTTCTTTTCAACTATTTTCTGTTCATTTCAAAGTTTGGTGCTAATTTCTGACTATTTAAACCTAATTCAGCAAATATGTGTTCTTTCTGCTTTCTTCTGCTATCTTAGGATTGTTCTTGTTCTTCAGCTACATTTCAACATGTTTTTTTTAAGTTTTTTTTTTAAAGCTAATTTCAACCGTTTTTCAGCAATTTTTTTTCTGCAATAAGCATTCACACTGCATTTTCGCAGGAAAAGCAATATCTCTAGTTTCACTTTTTCCTCTGTGCACTGCTAAAATCATTAGCTGTCTAATCAGTTATACCATCCACAGAATATTAACAAACTGCAATTTCAATGTGCCATTATTTATTGAAGAACTTATTTTCTGGTTGCAGCCTCCCAAATGGGAACATTGGCTGCTCATTATCAGAAATTACATATTTTTGTTATTCAGATTGCTTGAGAATATGCCCAAGGCTCTGGGAAAAAGCTCGTTCTCTTCTGTAATGTTGCCTATGTTGGCCTTATAATTAAAAAATATCACTTTTGATGTATTGCCGTGAAAACATTTGTTGCCCTTTTTATGTTTTTACTCGGTTTTGCTGTCGGCAGCAGTAATTTTATTTCCATTCCCTGCTAGGTAAAAATAAAACAACCCACTCTATTTTTATACGTAATGTGGCCAAGGTGTTGAAGCTGCAGAACTCTCAGGTTACGAGCGTTATTTAGGCATTGGAAACCACAGGTCTTGTTTTTTAGTTCCCACGCCTTGAAAAGCTTTATGTCATTGTCTGCTGGCTGTGGACCAGCAGAGTAACATGATGTAATGTGATGCATTAGGGAGGAAAAGATTCTGATTTATTCCACATGTCTGCAGGTGGGTGGAGGCAGGGACCCAGCGTGTATTCCCCAATGCACTTCATGTCGTCACTATTGTTGACATTTTGCTCTTACCTTACACTTTTAACTTAAAATCAAACCGCTCTGTTCTCCATTTCCCTCGTGCTCTTGTAACGTCAGAAGTCATGGTGCGGAACGATTAGAGTTTCGAAGCCACGGCTGACAACACGATGATGATACTGATATTGCTGGAACACGCTCCTGTCTGATTAGCTCAGCTCGGTCCCTGCAGGGCCTGGTCACTCGCTTCAAATGTGTGGGATACAGAAAGCCCACAGAAAGAGCTCTCTCTCTCTCTGTCCTTTTTTTTGTATAAATTCAACGACTGCTTTTGTTTGGTTGAAGTTTAAATAAATTTCCTCAAACTAAACAGTTTCCTTTTCTCTTATCTCTTTCAGACAAACCGCCTCACTTCACTCCGGCCCAGCCTCCTGATGGTAAGCCCTCCGAGGTTTCGTTCTGCTCACCTTCACTGGTCTTTGGGTTTCTGGGCTTTACCTCCGAATAATGACCACAGACAGCGGATCTGCGCCTTTGAAGTGGGCAGCCGTATATGTGCTTTGCCAGATTTAGCAGCTCTGCTCTCCGTTGCTGCACTGTTGGTATGGCAGGCACATGGCCAGGTCTGCTCAGGGCCTTTGATGTACGAAGGATCTTTTGATGACTTGATTTGATCAGCTCCGCGCAGCTAGTTGGACTGATGTTCAGTATCTGTTACCGCAGCAGCATTCACATCTTTCTGATAGGGTCTAATGGGATAACACACCACCCTTATCGGTGTGTATTCAACGTTACTGTAGGCTGCGTGAGGTTTGCAGGCCAAGGGCATGCCGCAGCACCATTACCTCACCTTGTTAACCGTATTTTCTTGCTCCAGCCAACACTTCTACAGCTTCGCTATAGGTGCTATGATGTTTCAGTTTTGTTCAAGGTCAGAAACTTGGGCTGTTAATTAAAAAAAAAAAAAAAAGTCTATTTCCAAAACTGTAGAGCATGGAAAAGTTTAATTGGAGGAAAACAGCTGTTTTTCAAGCTGCTATCATGCATATTTATCAGCGCTAACACAGTGAGACGGTGTTTGATCGTTACTTCTTTTTTTTATTCTGCTACGCTGACTGGATTGCCAGGGATGGCCTCCTACTAGTTTGGAAGGTGTTGCGTCATCCGGCACGTGTGCAGGAAACAAAGCTAGAGGTGCGGAGAGAGATCACATGTGGAGAAAATGTTTCTAATGATCATAAACCCACTGATGCAGGGGACAAAAGACCACAGTGTGAGCTTGCTGAATCTGTTTCTGATAATTGCCCAATCGCTCATTTTATGGCTTGTTTGGAAAGACAGTTTTTGAAGGATGTCACCTTAAAACGAATCGGATTAGAGATTGTTAATGATGAATGTATTTGTCAGGCCGGGGACAATGGATTGTTCGCTGTCGATGTGAAATGATTGTGGCGTTTGGATTCAACAGATACTCATGCTTGATTGGAGCGTTTCCCCCCCGTTATTTCACCTCAACACCTGAGGAACATTTTAGGATGTCTGACTCATCATAAGACACTTGAGATTCAATTGCAGCCAGCACAGTCTGCAGCATTTGTTTATTTTTGTTACAATGACAAATCCAATTGCCTTGATAAATGATTGTATTCTAAATAGAGCACCTATTGGTCTGTTTTTGAAGTAAATGTAGCCTTAAAATGTGGTAGTCCACTTGAAAAGTGGAAACGGTATTCAGACAGCAAAGCATCCCGTTTCTGTTTTCCATTGAATTTTCTCCTACAAAAGAAATGAGGCCCTGCTTATTGATTGAGCCACTCATTTCCCGTGTATTAAAGTTTTTCGCTGGCTGAAGGGCACAGTTTGTTTCTGCACTAGTCAACCGTTTAAAAGCTGCTCCTAGCCCTTAATTACATTTCCAATAGTTCTGTGGGCTTTCCACCAGCAGCCTATGCTGTTTTAATATGCCAATGAAAATAAAAAGCAAAGTCTCCAATCAGTTGGGGTAAAGCCTGCCCCGTGGGACCTGGTTTCTCTGGGTCATTTAACGCTGAAGAGATTAGTACGACAATTAGAGTTGGCCCACATATGGCAGCAGGCCACTTTTTTTGGAGACGTATGGTTTTAGTAGTACAGTAGTCGAGCAGTTGTTTAGAAGATGCTTCAGACAAGCAGAGTGCTAATAAAGCTTTGCCTTTCCCAAATCTGTGTCAAAGAGCGCTGGGCTCGTTCTACTGAACTTGTCCTCAGAGCCAAGGACGCTCCACTCCCGAGTACTTAATTACACAAAATCACAGACAAAATACCAAGGAGCATGAATTTTTAACCAGCCTGGTTTGTCTCCGATATTCTGTTGATGAGGAGTCCTTATTAGTGTAGGGGGAGATTCTGCAGAAAGTAAGGAAATTTGTTCTACAAAACAAACAAAAAAAAATCTAGAGCCATGTTTAGAAAATAGGCGGTTTTGGAACAGCGCAAGTAACGCTCTTAGATATGTTTGGTGTGTGCCACCCACAAATAAGTGACAAACCCTCCCCAGTGAACGGTCTATAATCACCAGTCAAAAAAGTAACAAAAGTCCTAAAGCAGCCTTTAATTAGGTGCTTTCTTTGAAAGCTCAAAGGAGCAGTTGCTTAGCTCAGCCCACAGTCATTATTGCCTGTCGTCTCCTGATAATAAAACAGTTGTTGCGTGTTTGGCCAAAGCTGGAAAGCTCATAGAATTTGCAGCTTGAGGGATTAATATTGGACTTTGGAAACAGGGGATGGCTGAGAGAAATGCTTGATGAATGAGTCTTTGGCCTCAAGCTGTTAGCTTCCGGATTTTAACAAAAAAAACAGAAAATACTTAGCCGCTGGTCAAGGACGGGGTGCAGGAATGAGGCCATGACGACCATCAGTCTCAAGTTAATGTGAGGCTGAAGACACGTTGTTGATTTAAGCCAAAAATAGTTGTAATTGAACCGAATAGATTTACTTCTTGACCTCTGTGTCAAAGTCTCCATTTTAAAAGAAAAATCACTGGAGATGGCTCCCTGGAGTTATGTCCTTCATTTCATCCAATTTCAGCTGGAGGTGGATGACTAAACAAAGGCCAATCAAGATTCAATACAGGCCGGAGACTCAAAGGAAAGAAAGTGTAATGGAAGAGTCGAGCCTGAGATAGTTCAGGGGTCTCTGGTGGCTGCTGCTGTCTTCAGCACCACTTGCCCAGCAAGAGCCCATTTACAGGGAAGCTTTCAATTTCACATTTGTCACTGTCAGTTCTCTGCAGAGGATGCTTCTCACTGACAGTCAAAATAAACTCCAGGACTGAAATGTGATTTGATCTGAGATGCTGGGACGCCTTTAAAAAAGTGCCAGCGGGGCTCACTTACACTTTTAAAAACATTCCCCACAACTGACTCCTATTCACCTTTGGGAGAATACAGAAAGCCAAGTGCTCCACTCCCGTTATCCCCCCACAGATTGGTGGAGAACATGCACACTAAATCCCCCCGTAATTTATTCTGCCAGCGCCTTTCCCTGTGTTTTTGACAGTAAGCCCGACTCAAAAAGAGCCAGAGCCAGAATTAATTATGACTCCTTAGCCTATCTTAATTAAATCTTTTCACATCATAGATTTCACACAACAGAGTCAAATCTTCTGGCTTATCTCTCAGCTGGGGTGGGGGTAGCAGTTTGTGAGTGTTTCACATCAAGATATCAAAAGTATGCCTGGGAAGTTGCCTGTCAAGGATTATGAGTTGGTGTTTTTATGTCCGGTTTTTAACAGAGAACAGCCCATTAGCCCATTTTAGTGAGGACTGCTGGGAAACTGGAGCAGCCTTGACTTTATCAAGAGAAAGTTTATTGCCCTTTTAAAACACACAGAGCTTTTTTAAAGTGCACATCTGAACTTTGTCTGTCCTGACTAAGGTCAGCGGACTCGGAACATGCGGATATGAGCGCCTGGAAGTTTTTATTCACAAAGACGAAACAAACCTAAGAATGCCGTGACCAAACTTGAATTTGACTGTCAATTTATAATCTGGGTGTCCAAAAGCTTCTTTAAAAAGTCTTCAGTTGATCCAAAATGCTGCTGCCAGAGTTTTAACTGGAGTTAGTTGGAGAGATCATATCTCTCCAGTTTGAGCTTCTCTCCATTGGCTCCCTGTCAAATCCATTATTTAATTCAAAATCTTACTTCTAACCTACAAAGCCCTCAACAACCTAGCTCCATCTTATATTAGAGATCTTATTGTTCCATATTTTCCTAACAGAGCACTTCGCTGTCAGTCTGCAGGCTTACTTACGATTCCTAGAGTTTACCAAAGCAGAATGGGAGGATAAGTGGCCATCTGCTTCGATCAGCTGGGATTGAGAGGACAGGAAGGAGAAACAGACACAGAATGACGGGTCCAGATTGGAGGCGAGCAGGTCCCTCACTAGGAGGAAAGACAAAAAGAAAAAAAAAAACAACAACACATGTTAAGATAGAAATAATTACAAATACAAACTATTCATTTGTATTCATTTGCGTCTACATTCGCATTCATTTGATGAGATTAGGCCGCTTTGTAAGCCTATAGCATCATAGCTAAGGGAGAGGTCAATCCGATCATAACAATAGGATTTATCAAAAGCAAAGACTTGAGCCCAGTCTTAAAACTGGACAATGTGTCAGCCTCACGGACAGAAACTGGAAGTTGGTTCTACAAGAGAGGAGCCTGATAACTGAAAGATCTTCCTCTCAATTGACATCGACTTTAAATGACTAGCATGGAGCCAAGCAAGGTAAATAAAATGTCTCACATCTGAATTTAAAAGGTAAACCTGCTCAACATGAACAATGAGCTCTTGTTATTACAGACTCTTACTTTTAGCTTATTTTGCAGTCAAAGGAGTCGCCTTCTTCTGTCCATTTGAAATCGTGCAAGTTTAAAACTTGTTTGCACTGGCTTGACTTTTCAGACCCGGAGGCTACGTCCATCCTTCAAACTGAGTTTCCATTCAGGTTCGCCTCACCCCACCTGAGCTCACCCAGTATTGATCTGTCAGGATCGCTTCGAAGCATCTGTCCAAAGAGAAAAACAGTGTTTGCCAGTGAGGAGAAAACCAAGTGGGTCAGAGCTGTAAAGAGCAGAACTATTTGCTTTTCATCCCATGACAGCGAGTACTTGTTTATGTAGTTAACAGTGCAGTTTTCCTTTGATATGGCCTGCAGCTCAGAGATGAACCGGACTCATTGATAACGCAGGTGATTCAGAGATCTTGTACGGATCAGTGGCTTTTTTTATTGGAGACGCACAGGATTCTGAGCTGTCTGGCTGAAGTCTGTCGGTGTTTCTGTCTGTCGAGTCTCATGTTGTTGGAATTTTTAATCGGGAAGTGACAAATTTTGCTTTAAATGAACCTTTTAAATATCTGACTGTCTAAAAGTTACTCCTTTAACTTGAACA